TATTGTTATGATATTGTGTGTGTACGAGAGTTTATGTTAGCGCCAAAAAAAATTTTATTGTTGTGATATCAATTTGGTTTTGGTGTATTGGTGTTTGTATACCTTTGCCCTACCTAGCTCTAGACTCCTCTCAGTAGTCGGTTCTATTCACTATATGCTTTAGCAAGAAACCACACACAATCACAGCTATAAATACAAAAGGTTTATTAATAAATGAATTTATTATTGTTTTGATATCTATATGTCAAAATTTGTCAGTAAGAACTGTTAAACACAACAGTCAATATTTTGAAGTATTTCACACTATTTCCAAAACCTTAAACAAGATGTTATATCGATACGACTGTTATAATTAAATTTCACGTATGACTGGTTGCATACATTAAGACATTGACATTTAATCTTATAACTTCTTGTTTAACAAATGGTTATTTATTTCTAAGATTAATATTGATAATTTTACAAAGATTGGCCAATTTTGATTATGTTTGATATAGTTAAATAAATTTGTTTAATACGAAATTAGTGACTTGCTAAACTTTTTATATACTAACTTTTTACTTTTGAAAATCTGTATCAAACTATTTCGTATACGACTTTTACTTTTATTATAAAGGTACTTTTTATACGTATTATCGATAATGACTTATCGACTGATTTCTCTCCTTTACTCTGCTTGATTGTTTTCCTAAATTCTGGTCTATCCTATCTCGCTTACTTTCAGGAACCTGTCGACTATGCTGCTTTCTTACTGGTCTCCTAGTCTCTGCTACTGATATTCGGTTTTCTTACTGCTCTGCTGGATCCTGCTACTGATATTCCGATTTCTTACTGTCCTCTGGAACCTTCTACTGCTATTCCTCGTTCTTTCTGTCTTCCTGGACCTTGTTTGTTGGTACTCCGCTTGTCTCGTATTTCTTGAGTTACTTATTTTACCACTTGGTACTTTTATATTCTCGATTTCTCCCACTTGAATCTTTTTATACTCTCTCGCTCATTAACTACTTATATTTCTATAGGTTTTCTTTTCTTTCTTCAACAACTGTCGTTTTTCAAAATATTTCTGTAACTAATCAATAATAATCTATTTTCTTTTTTACTATCTTGATTTTTCTTTCCCTTATAAAGGCCTTTCCACATATCTTTTAACGTGCCATTTTCCTTTTGTAATTCACTTCACTTCACTTTCTCCTTTGCACTTATACACCCTATTCTACTTTCTTTACAATCAATTTTGCCTTATACTTCAAAATATTTCTTATTTTATAATATTATTTGACCTTTCTAGTGACTACTGAATTCCTTGTGGATCCCACTTTAAATTTGACATTTTTTTGACATATCCTTTTAATTAATGTACAAAATTGTCTTTAGATCTTAATATCTTTTATTAACTCTTATTCTACCTTATTTTTTAACTATTTAATCAATCTCTGGCATTTTAACTTTTGTTTGATATCTACCAATTCTGCATTTTAATTAATTTCAACTATATTTTTTTCGCAGATGTCGTTCCGTGGTTGATAGAAGTTTCTGTCGAGCTCCTACTATTTATACTGTTCTTCTGTTATAGTGAGCAAATTTTATTATCAGTCTTTAGTGAAAATTGTGCATTGTTTTATCGACTCCCTTGTCAACGACTCAACATGTCTAAAATGGGGCCCACTGTTAAAGAAGTAAGTGCACGTGTTGATAAATTAGCAGAGCAGTTTGAAAAAGGCCTTGAAGCATTCAAACATAGGTTTTTGAGTAAAAACCCTTCGCCCTTAGTATCTGATATACACAGTAAGTTTCTTGAGGACTTTAAGAGGTTCGAAATTAATATTATTATGTCTCTACGTCAAATAAAAGAGGACATAAAGGGTCTTCAGGACAATATTGTAGCCCTTAATAGTGAGTTTAGAAGTAATCAACTTAGACGTAATCGTGGTACTTTAATTATACATGGATTTAGATCTGACAAGTATAGCCTCTGTGAAAATGTGGTTGAATTATTTAATTCCAAAATGAATTTACCAGTAAAGAAGTCTGATATCAATCAGTGCTATTATCTTGGTAGTAAAGAACAAAAAAGTGCTGTGCCAAGGTCTATTGTCGTTGAATTCTGTCAGCGCTGGCTACGTGATATGGTTTTCTTTAATAAGAAACAGTTAAAAGGTTCCCGTATTTTGATTTCGGAAATGTTGACTGCTGACAACTTGGTTATTTACAAGAGAGCAAGAGAAATCTACAAAACGGCGACATGGTCATTCAATGGTCTTGTTTACATTAAATTAGGAGAAGAAAGAAAATGCATTAGATCGGTGTCTGATCTGTTACTTGTTAGCGATGAAAAGGTTAATTAAAGCTTGGCTTTTGTGATGATTGTGTTTTTTAACAAGTAATTGTTTTACAACAGTTTTTTTTTCTTTTTTTTGTATCAATGATTACTTTAACTATTGCTTGTTTTGGATTTGTTTGAATTTCCTTATGTCTTGATATGTGTTTGAATCTTTGTTTATTTGCACTTTTTGCATTAATTCATTTTCACCAAGTATTTACTATTGTGTAATAATTAACTTGCTCCTATGTTTGTTTTATTGTTAATTTTTACTGGAGCTATACAGAGATGACCTACCTATATTTATCTTTTGAGTTTACTAATAACTTCGTGCAACTCTTTTCTTTATTTTTTTTTACGAATTTTTGCTATTAATTATCCTCAAGACATTTTCTTATTAATTACATTAATATCTCTTTATTGTGATATAATTATCTTATTGGTTTTCTTTCTCTTTTTATTTACCTTTGAATATATCTATATTATTTTTTAATTGAAAATCTAGATTTTGTATCACGTATGAATATTATTGCTGTCATGCTGTCTACTTAATAGTATAATGAAGATTGCGCACTTAAACTTACAATCAATTTTTACAGGTTTTAACGACTTTGTTAATTTAGTTCTGCAAAATGAATTTGATGTCGTTATGATTACGGAGACTTGGCTGAATGATAATATTGATTTACTTACTAGCGTACGATATTTGTTGAGAATTAACTGCATTCGACACCCGAGGTAGAAAGCATTGGCGGCGTCACGTTCACCTTGCAGTGCATACTATGTTTTACAGGTACGAAATGTATCATCCTGTGCATTTTTGTGTAAAACGTACCTTCCTGCACACCATTAATAAAAAACTTGGATTCAGGTGAAAGAAAACTAAGAACAATCGGCGAGCAGTAATAGATATACATTCACGCTGGCCATAATAGTTCCAACATTAGGGAGACAATTACAAGAACGGTTTGCTATCAGCCATATTAATCCGGGAGAATTACATATTGGCATGGCTGTTGCTTGACGTAGTTTAGATATTAGTAAAAATAAGTCAAAAATAATATATACACTCAAAATATAAGTTTTCGCCAAGAAAAAAAGTTGTGCTATTTGTAGGAAAAATAAACAATTGCAAAAATACTCAAAATTGACAAGTTTTTTCTCACATTTTCCAATATAACTTTTTAAATATGCACTTTACAGAAAAAACTATTACCGGTGAAACTGTTTGTTATGAAATTTGCAATTGTTTTGATACTCGTGCATATCATATTTTTGTTGCTAGATAGCCAAAACGGGGTAAGAAAGTGATGAGGTAATTTTGAAGCGTTCAACTGACAGGTAAGAAATTGTACAATTCTACTACAAATGTAGAGGTAAGTACTTTAAAGTATTATAAAACGAAATCCCAAAACCCGATCCAAATCGGTATAGTCGTGAAATGCGAGAATTTCCTACTAAATTTCAACGCGGTTAAAGTTAAGCATTTTAATTGGCGTTGATTTTTTTTACACACACTTGGACCCCTTAACTATCATATTATAGAATCGTTATAATACCAATTGTATTTTTTTAATAATTTTTGGAGCGATTTCAAAAATTCGAAAACTTTGACTTTATCAACAAATACTTTTGTGAAGAGGTTTTGCGGTTTGGAAAATATACCAAAGTATTAAAAAACAGTTCTCGAAAAAAAGCTTAACTTGAAAAAAAGCACGTTCAAATCGGTAGTGTAACCAAGTTATTGAGTGTCAAAGTCAACAAGCGTTAGCTGCAAAAATATACATAATATAACAACAACAAAAATTGAATTTGGTAGGTTCTTTCAGCACTACAAAAAAAAAAGATTGGATTATATGTCTCTTGTCTAGAACAGGATAAATGTTTTATATAACACCTTTCAAAACAAAATATTTTTCTTAATAGAGAATTTAAAGATTTGTTTAATATGGAAACATTGACACACGGTGGTAATCTTGACTCCGTACAGGGTCAATAAATAAACCCAAATCAGCAAACTATTAAAGCAAATATATGACATGTATATACCACAGTAATCAGAAAAAGTAGAGGAATTGAAAAATGATAAATGTTATAGTGTTCTATTTAAAAAACTAAAAATTGGTGCATTTCTTCGAAATCATGCACTCCATTATTTTATCATCGATTGCTTCGAAGTCGCAAGAGAATTTCCTAAAATTATATATCCCTGCTATATTTTCCTAGATAGAAGAGCAAATAAAAGGGGAAAGATGTTATGTGAATGCGCATGTGCATACAAAAAAAAACTGGTGGTGCGCAAAGTTCATTATCAGGATCCGTTTATAAAATCGCATCGCATTAAAAAATAGTTAAATATTTAAAATGTTATAGCATATTTGACAGAAAAAGACAAGCAATTGCCTTGGCTGCAAAAAAAAATCAAAAAAATAAATAATGTAACTAATAAGTTAAAATAAAAACTAAATGTGGCCAAAAAAAGGTGTGGGTAGGTTTTACTACTAGGGTAGGTTTTTAACTACTTAGTTGATTAAATGTTCAAACTGATGACCGCCCGCTTCCATACAAGAATAAAGATTTTGTTCGAAACGTTCACGCACATTCCGAAGCATTTTCTAGCAACGCTGGCTGTGTTGTATAGATTTTACTTTTTAGGTATCCCCAAAAAAAGAAATCAAGGGTCGATAAATCCGGTGATCGTGGAGGCCACTCAACGCTGCCTCTTCTCCCAATCCAATTCCGTAGAAAACGTTGGTCCAAATACTGACGGACAATTAACGCATAATGCGGAGGATCACCGTCCTGTTGAAAAGTCAAATGATCTTCATCATACTCTGGAACATTTTCAATAATATCAGTCAAGGCAGAGTCAATAGCGTCTTCCAGTAATTGCAAACGCATTTGGCCAGTCAAATTACTAGGTAGAAAAAAGGACCCACCAGCCGGTCACCGAAAATTACAGCCCATACATTTAATTTTTCTGGTTGCTGTGTATGCACCTCGTGAAAAACTCTTGGGTTTGAATCGGACCAATAGCGGCAATTGTGACGATTTACTGTCCCGTTTAAGAAAAAACTGCATTCATCAGAAAAACAGATGTTAAAAAGGAACTGTGGATCGTTCCCTGCTCGCTCACTCATTATTTCTCAAAATTGCAAACGGCGGTCATAATCATCCTCATGAAGTTCCTGGACTAAATGTATTTTGTATGGATGGAATTTATTCTTCTTCAAAATGGTTTCTATGCTAGTTCGATCGATCCCAGACACAGATGCCAGCTGCCTCGTACTTAATGTAGGCTCAAGATGAACTTGTCCCAAAACTGCAACTTCACTAGCTTCATTAACTATAGGTTTTTCAATTTCTCGGTTTTTATTGGCTACGTTCCCTGTCTCATGAAATTTTTTTACTAGCTCTAGAACATACTTCCTTCTGACATGTCGATCTTGATGTTGTTCATTAAATAGCTGAGCTGTTCTATTCGCACATTTATTGTTCATAAAGTAAAGCGAAATGACATCTACCCTTTCCGCAATGGAATAAACCATAATGTTTAATTTTTACAAACACAATTAAATAAACTACCAACCAACGCTTCCAAATAATACTAGAAAATAATTTTGAATCCACTAATTTTACGTTCATCGTGTGTGTATAGCATTCATTTCTGTTTTTTACAATTGTGTTTTTTTGCGAAAGTGATAACAAATCGCCAAAAACAAATGTAAGGCAAGAAATACTAAATTTATACCTTAACTCGAATGACTGACATTTTTGCCGTGACTAATTGTTTGTACACAAGTTTCAACTTTAAATTCAAAATTGTTAATAAGTATTGGTCGGAATTATAAAATTTAAAGTCTGTTGTAAAAAAAATTGTAAGAGCTTTCAAAAGAAATATTACTCAACCCCCAATGCCATTTAAATATTTTGGGGTGATGCTTACCCTTGCGTGGGAGTGAAAGTGGCGGAGTCAAAAATACCAGCAAAGAATATCCCACTTTAATCTAAAATTGACGGGTCTGAGCGTTCTCCTACAATCTTGACGCAGTTCCTGAAAATGGCTGTGTTTCGTTTTCATTTGACCACCCTGTATATTATTTATACTTTAACTTCGCTACAGAAACTCTGCGGACCTATCGAGAACTAAGAAGGAATATATGGTATATGTAGTATGTTTTAAATTATTGTCATTTTGCGTTGTACAAAATCCACCCACGGATTATGCAATCCTACGGTGAAAATTCCAAGGATACAACAAGCACCTAGAAGATTCCCAAACTCGTAGGTACTCGTAGAAGGCCTACATAAGCCCCTCGAAACCTCTAAATATTTCAGTTACTCACAGGAGACCTCGCCTAGCACTGATGCTAGGCCAGGCAGAGCATAAAAAAAGTTATGTAGATACCAGAGTACTGTACTAGAAGTATCGCCAGAAAACATTATATGCAACAAGGCTCAGTTGAAAGTTTCCAGGAAACCGTGCTATCCCGATGGTGTTTCAGTGTGGAAGAAGACAATCAAACAAATAAAATTGTCTCCACATTTATAGGAATCTAATTCCATACCCCCAAGCAATCCTTGAATGGGGTGATGAGAGAGGCGTCCCAACATCTTGACTGGCTCTTTTATCCACGAGCAGAAGACTCCCAGCACTGCAGGCAATACATGTAAATCTCAGTAAAAATGCATTTAGGGGAAATTTCCGAAGTAAACTGATGAAAGACGACAATAATTATAAAATGTGTCGTAGCTTTGATATTAAGTATAGTATAAATAGTTAAAGTAATAAAAAATTGTGCCAGCCTTTAGTGTAATATGTATACTTCAGTATTTCAATTATTCCACATGGATCAATATTTAATGTTGCAGTTGCAGTTTATATAAATCTTTGAATAGATGGGCGTTGATTTTAAATGGCCGTCGTACTTTAAATACGCAATCGTTGTAACGTACAGGCCATTTGGTGAACGCCATTAGCTTCATTCTGATAACAGCAGGCGCTGCAAAATGGAAAGTACTTTCTGTTTGAAAGCATTTCTCTTTCTCGGCGTAGATCCTAACCGTCCTATAAGAAAATGGCTTGTTACTTTCAACAACTTATTAGCAGCATGGATTATGTCTCTNAAGTCTGTTGTAAAGAGAATTGTAAGAGTTTTCAAAGGAAATATTACTCAACCCCCAATGCCATTTAAATATTTTGGGGTGATGCTTACCCTTGCTTGGGGATGAAAGTGGCGGAGTCAAAAATACCAGCAAAGAATGTCCCCCTTTAATCTAAAATCGACGGGTCTGAGCGTATTTCTACAATCTTGAAGCAGTTCCTGAAAATGGCTCTGTTTCGTTTTCAATTGGCCACCCTGTATATAGCACTGTAAACAGTTCCTAGGAATTAGACAATAATTAATGATAACTAACGATGCAAAAGTGAAGCTTTTACATATACGAAGTGCAAAAACTTAAAAGCTACAAATAATATAAATACTAAACTAAAATTAGGCTTATCTGGAATGAGTGCGTAAGTTGTCACGGGGTGGTAATAGCAGTTCCGGCACTAAATACTATTTCAAGAAAGACGGTAGCGTGCAGCAAAACCAACAGTGAGCAAGCGAGGGGTTCACCTTGCTGAAGTACCATATAGCAAAGTGAGCTTTCAGTGTATTGTGTAGGCTACGGCAGCTTTAACTCGATCGAGTAACCAGTAAACGGGTACCAAGTGAGAATGTGACTACATTTTGCTTCTAACCTCACTACCTACCTAGGTTGTTGATCGGCCTTAAAGTGAAAATTTCTCAATTCTTTACTATGGGCATTAAAATCCAACTACTAAGGCTTAGAAAAATACCAAAAATATTCATTTTGTCCAGATATTTCTTCGAAATATCCGCAATTTGCGTACGGCACAAACGTGGCTCGAAATATCTATCGAAAAAGAAGAGGAATTTTTCCGACCATTCAACCAATTCCTTTCTCAGTTCATTAGAGGAATTTTAGATCAACCTGCCGTACGACGATTAAAGAAGATGACAATTGATTTATAAAATCTGACAGCTATTTTCAAACCAAAATAGAAAACTGAGGTTAATATTTAATAACTTAATTGGATGGCGGTTTTTATTAAGTTTTATTTGCAGATCACAAGGCTCACATAAAGATAGTTTCCCGAATATTTACATTATTCTACCCCAGGAATAGTGTATCCACATAACCTGTACCATTTATAAAAGTAAAAAATGACTTGCAACAATGAATTTTTCAGCAATTGTTGATAATTTGTTTAAATTTAAAAAAAAATCAAAAACTGACTACACCATTCAATTGTACGGAAAAAATACAAATAAACTGTCTCATTGTTTGACCCGAAACTATTTTTGTACATTATTGTTCTAAACATAGTGAAGTCGAATAATGAATAAATAAAATAAATAATAATTTTTTTCCGTAGGATCGATTAGTGTACTTTTTTTTTAAGTTTGATGAATTCATAGATATACAGTGTGTCCAAGATAAGGATGGGATAGCATTAGGATCTAGGAGATGGTAAGAGATACGGGGTGGCTCAGATTAGAAAAAAATTGTGTTTTCATATACCTAAGAATATTCTGTTTAGAAAGTTTTAAAATCCCAGGTAGTTCCAGAGATATCCGGAAAAAAAACGAAATTTTGCAAAATTGTTTCATTTTTTTCTGGCTTTATTTGAAAACGAATTTTAAAATAAATTACATATTTACAATGCTACTTTTTTCGCTCTATACAATGGCGTCAACATTTTTGCAATCCGACGTTTCGTCTTCGAGGGGCCATCATCGGGTTAATTTTTTTAAATACGTCGCTGCTATTTTTATGACAAAATCTAAAGTCATTTTTAATTCTGAATTAGAGGANNNNTTAGGGATCTCAATCTTAAGGATATCGAAAATGACCAGGATGTTGAAGTGTATGTTCGGAACATGAAGAAGATAATCAAACATCAACAGTTACTTATGAGGTTAGTCTGATTCATTTTAAATTAACTAGCTTACTTTTAACCACTGTTTGAAATAGGTTGCATGAAATTTTTTATTTACGATCGTGTCCAAAATAGCAATGTTTCACATAATTTCCAGTGTAAAAATTAGCTTCTGTAAGGACCTGTGCAAAAAGAGTGTATCACAGAATAAGTCTGAAACGTGTAACCACCCAGTGTTCATACGTAAGTGAGCTTTCCTTGCCTGGTTATCATTATTTCCCACATTTACTTTACTGTCATGGTCCTTTTTATAATTATCTTGGATGCTTGACCATGAGTCTATATCTTTTCAGTAGCCGATTGCTATTAATTAGCTTATATTAACTAGAGTGGTGCATATTTGCATTGTGCAAATATTTTTGTTTCATTTTTTTGCCAAAGTGAGGTTTAGCTAAGCTTGAATATTAGATTTCTTGCAGTGTACAGATTTCACCCGAATTACAAAGGGAAAAGCAAGAATTACCAGACGTAGGTATAGCTTTGTAGGCAATTTTCTTTGTAAATATTAGTTAGTTAAAACGGAAAATTTTTAAATCATATCTTTCTTTTTAAATAGATTATCTTGTAAATTATTTGCTGAAAACATGTGTAGCTATTACACCTAGCATACCATTGTTAAGATTAGTGACATTTTACTGCATATATTATAATTTAAACAATTTCTATTTTACTATTATTTATTAAAAATGTACTTGAGCAATTTAAGATCAAGCGATCATCATCATCACTTGGCAACTGTTATAATTCTGCCCGTAATAGCTGCCGTCGGGGTCAGAAATAACAATTGTTTCTTATAAAGGCCAGTAGTTAAAGAAATAACGTTTGTTGTCAAAATTCTATTATGGTTGTATTAAATGTAATGTATCATTAAACGACATGTATTAGTGATTGCTTCATTTACAATTTTGTATATTTTATCCATGCTGACCATTTTTAATTTCTTTGTTCGGTATCCCACAAAACTGCTTTAAATAAGTGATTAATAGTCCAGGAATGTTAGACATAAAAAGAGGAATAAGCGAACTTTTTTACTTTGAAATTTGTTTATAGAAAAGTGTAGGTTTTGAGGTCAGAAAACATATGCCACACACGCAACCACCAGCAACATACAGCATTTTACTATACTTCTATGAACAATTTCGATTTTCCCAATAGTTTTCCCGGATATTTTTCAAATGAAGTACAGATTATGAGAAAATTAATGTTTTGGAGCCAAAATAATGTTAAATTCATTTTTAAATAACAAAAGTGATTTAGAGAAAAGAAAATTGCGGAAAATTCTTGGAAAATCTTATCTAGTTTTCCGAGGTTTGAATATTTATAAAAAAACGTATAATTTTATAGGTTTTCGAACATTACGAATTAATTATACGCTTTTTAATATTTTGCAAAGAAATATATTTTCTTTGAAATTTTTTTGCGACAGCGATGAGGCAGTTATACATAAAAAACCTAGGTATGGAAATCCCATAATAAATAAAAAAAAGTAGTTTTTTAATTATATATAAATAAAAAAAATTATAAACGTTTAATAATACCTTTTTTTATTATGCCAGTTAGCTTTCCTATTGTCATAAATTTATAGTTCCAATTTCATTATAAAACTAAAGAAAACAGAATTTCCTGGAAAATATTAAAAGGTGCATAATTAATTCGTAATGTAGACCCTCGAAAATCTATAAATCTACGTTTGTTCATAAATATTCAAACCTCGGAAAACTATACTTATAAGATTTACTAAGAATTTTCCACAGTTCATTCATTTATTTTTTTATTTAAAAAGAATTGACCATTATTTTAGCTCCAAAACATAAATTTTCACATAACCTGTACCACATTTAAAAAATATACTGGGAACCATTGGCAAATTCGAAATTTTTCAAATGAGCAATTTTGTAGTAGCAGTAGCATTTTTGTATTTTAATTTTGAACCATTGTTTGAAACTTTTTTCGAAAAAAAACGCATCTTCATTGAGATATTCGCAGTTTTATATAAAAAAAATCTCATAGTAAAAAAAATGTATTAATTTTTTTCTTATTTTCCTGTGTTATAACTAAAATTAGTTAAGATCGATATCTTTTTCAGCTACCAGTAAATTTTCAGTAATTCCAATCAAAGACTCGACGGTTTCGTATGGTTTATCTTTTCTGAAAAAAAAGGAATAAGAACACGCCTGTCGTTGAATTGTTTGTACATCAAATCATATTACTTTTGTGACATCTCAGGTATTTAAATTGACAGCGTGAGTGCGATTTGTTGAACTTTTAGGAGGGAATTATTTTCAAACTCGTCTACATTATTATTAACGTTATGAAACATTCGATATTTTTATTAAAACTGTTACGAATAATACGTTTAATGGCAATATATCTTCTTTAATACCCATTAATATCTATTAATTATTCCTTAAAGAGATAATAATATATCTTTTAAGGCTTAAACCCATCGCCTTACATTTCTGCAAGTTTGATGTTCAATATTTTCTGTCTCATTTCTATTTATTAATGACAAAAAAATAATTCAGTTTTTTTCCAGATACGTCGACGATTTAAATACAATATTATGTGTGCCAGTTGCGCTGTTGATTGTAACTAACATTTCCATAATGTGTATAGCTATGTATAATACAACAGTAAAGTAAGTATTTTTTTGGTATGAAGCAGAACACAGAACTGAACTTAATGTTTACAAAGAGTTGAGTAAATAATTAACACATAACTCGAATATGTATTAATCGGTTTTGATTATTTTTGAGGTATTGCTTTCAATCTACAAATTTTGTTATTATACAGTGTTTTTTAAAACTCACAACTCCTGCAAAATTGATGTAATATCCGTTCAGAACATTTTCCTCTTTCGGGCATTCAGTTTGATCACGTAGCACCTATGTGATCACCTATCAAATAAAAAATAGTCGTCATTTTTGCCCAAAAGAGAAAAAAGTTATGAACGGATATTTTCACCATACATCAATTTTGTAGGAGTTCTGAGTTTTAAAAAACACTATAAAACCAAAATATGTAAATTGAAAACAAAGTCCATATCCCAAAAGTAATCAAAATTGAATACGTATTCGAGATATCTACAAAAATCAAAAAATTTTCATGAACTTTGCGGCCATCTAGCGGCGAAACGAATCGATTTCGAATATAGGCGAATTAACCTAAATCTACCTATTTTGAGTCCACGAATCCGTGTTCTTTCGTTGTACATGTTATTCTGGGACACCCTGTATAATCTAATTTTTAAAGTGAAAAATTTAAGACCGAACGATGTTTTTTAAAGAAACAAATGATATTTTTATTTTCAAATAAACTGATTACTGTTGAAGAAATATAATTTTCAGCAAATTGCACAAACTCATGAGTCAAATATCGACTAAAACTCAATATAGTGTAATGTAATGTACAATGTATAGCAATATTAAATACTCTAGTCGAATTAGATCATAAAACCTGAAAATTAAAAAAAAAATGTTAGTAGATTAGTGCCATTTTTTATTGCACTGTATGACGGAGAAGGGTATGTGGAATGACAATATCAAAAAAATAACTCTAAAGAAATGACGCTAAGTTGGCAAATTTCAAATAAGTGACAAATTTACGTGTTTTTAACTTTTTTTAGTGCCCATGAAAATTTAGACGGCCGACCAATGGGAATATTGGTTATTTTATGTTGTACGTACTTAAATTATCTACAATTATTCATTATTCACTAATTTGTTATTTGTAAAATAAAGATAATGCGCGGGAATACCAGTTTTTGAAAATTGCGTATTATTATTGCAAAAGCTATGGAAAATGCAGTCAATCCAAACGCGTTTATTACCTGACTATCAATGTAAAACTTTCTGAAAGTAAAAGTTTAGCCCTTTCTTGTCTCTAAAATCCCGGTCTGATACATCCAATAGTTAATTAACAATAAACTTATAAAAAAATCTTGTGAACAAAGAGACGTAGACGGTCCCTCTTTTTTTAATAACCATAAAAACAATCTCTATTTAATACGAAAAGAGCGAATTCCTGAGTGGTTTTTGATTTGTTTATAACGTTGTTTTGCGCGTCCTACTTTGTTAGTTGTAAAGGGCTACTTGATTTCAAATTTTTCAAATTTTTCTTTTTCGATACGTATCTTTGAATCTATTAGAACCTATATCTACAGTGATATAAACTTCTAAAATTAAGTTTAGTAATTAAATAATTAGTTGCAAAGAAAACAAACGAAATTATTTAACAAATACCTGGAGCAACAATTTCACAGTCATTCGAATCGGCCTTTGGCATACATTTTGGTCTTTGGATTGGCCGTCTTTTCCATAAATTTCAGCAACCTCCATCTCTTTTTGCAATAATAATGCATAATTTTCGGAAATTGATTATACCTCATTCAAACTTTATTTTACAATTGGTGAAATATGACTTTAGATACTTTAAATTGTAAATTGCCTACAACAAAAATGACTAATTTTCCGATAGGTCGTCTAAACTTTCGTGGCAAGTAAAAACAGTGAAAAAACACATGAATTTGCAATTTGCCAACTTAGCATCACTTCTTTCCAGTTACTTTTTTGATATTATCATTAATAGATATTAAAATTTATATTAATCTATGCAGTAAAAAGAAATTAGGACTAATAGCTAGTGATTAACGTAAATTATCACTACATATAAAACCATTTTTTTTTCGGATCGATACCATACGATTCTTATAGTTATTAATTTTTGCAATAACGTCTGACATTATACGCAAGCGGTCATTTTTAAACAAAATTAATCACTTGACCATATATTTCACATGTCCCATTTGAAAAAAAATTAGTGCCCATAATGAACTGTCCTCTCAGTGTAGAACATAGCAGCAATTTGGCCTAACAGCTTAAAATTATTACTTCCAAATATATTTTCATTCACCTCAATGATTTTTGTTATACGAGTACATATACAGGGTGAATCATTAATACTTACACACAGCTTAGTGGCATATTGTTAACGCCCAACTATAGTGATTGAGCCAAACATGCCTTAGTCAATTGTTGCTCCTTTTCGTTCTACAGGGTGTTAAAGTTGAAAAAATATTTTTACTTTTTTGCTATATTTTAAGTATGTATGGACCGATTGTTTTGAAAACTTGTATTTTATTTTTAAGGTGGTAAATACGAATATGCAAGCAGTGTTGGGGTCGCGTCTAGGGGGCGCTAGTTATACTGTCCTATCGATGTAAAAACATGTATAACTTTTAGTATTTTACTATTTTAAATTTTTTAACTAGAAATTATTGATTTACCTTTAATTCTAAATAAAAAGGGTGTACTTGTTACAAATCTATAATCTCAACCGTTTTCAAGCTACAGACATTTTAAGTTTTTGAGATTCGGCGGGAATTAAATTAACAAAAATTATTTTTTCCAAAGTAGTTTAACATAATAAATTGACAACACATTATACTCGAGAAGTAAGAGAATATCTTAATAGAAATTTCTCGCACCATTGGACGGGGTAGGGAAATATATATCTTGGCTTGCACGTAGCCCTGATTTAAATTCGCTGGATTTTTCTTTTGGAACTATCTTAAATTTCTAATTTACAAAGACGTTATTAATAGTCAAGAACAACTGCGGACAAATATTCAAGAATCAGTTCATATATGCAAACAACATAGAACATAACATCAGACAAAATGTTTAAACAAGTGAATTGAAGTCGCTGGTGGTTGCTTTGAGAATCTTTTATGATTAATAATTTATTAAGATATGCATAATAAAATTTAATTTTCAGTTGCTGTAATGTTTGTCTTAATTCTTAATTTATGCTTGGCATCTTATGACCTAATTTTCTAATTTAATTCCCACGGAATCTCAAAAAATTAAAACGTCTGTATTCGAGATATGGTTGAGTTTATCGATTTCTAATAAGTATACCTTTTTATTTGGAGTTGAACATGGTTCAATAATCTCTAGTTAAAAAATTTAAAAAGTTAGACATGTTTTTACATATCCGTATTTGCCACCTCAAAAAACGTAAAACTACAAATATTCAAAACAATCAGTCCATACATACTTAAAATATAGCAAAAAATCGAAAACATTTTTTCAACTTTAACACGCTGTAGAACGAAAAGGGGCAACAACTGGCTAAGGCATGTTTGGCACAATCGCGATATTTTGACGTCAACAATCTGCCAGTAAGCTGTGTACCATTGTTAATGACTCACCCTGTGTAATCTATTTCAGTGAAGGGAATTTATTTGTTCAAGTTAGACTGATTGTGACAATAGTATGTATACTCACAGAATCTTTTTTTGTGTATGGCTTTCCCGCACAAGTAATGATGGACCAGGTATGTATTAAAAGAATACTGTAAGCAATTAGACACAGTCACATATTATATAGTGGCGGATTTACATATTTGCCGCCAGTAGTCTATTCAAATTTTCCCGTCCCTACCGACGCGACGTCTGCAATTCGATACCCTAGTTCACAATCATATTAATTATAATTTTCTTGTCAATGAAATTGTATGATTTGTGCACTATCGTCCTAATTACACCACCTTTTTCCCGTAATTAGTGTTATTGTAAATTCCTAGATTATTTTCACAACCGAAATTAGTTAATATGGCACAAGAAAATAGTTTTTGGGTAGAAATTGTAGAAAAACTTATCTAAATGCTCACACATATTACATGTTGAATTGTTTGTGTGGATTTAAGGGGGCGATTTAGTATGTATATTTTTACCGTGTAACAGAGCTTCAGATGAGGATACAAATCATCGAAGAAACTAACATACTTGGAGATTATTATCTATCAATGTATTCGCAATGGTTGCCGCTAGTTAGTGAGATAATTTTCAAGGTTCATGAGAACATAAGAATAATTTAAATAAATGCCAAAGTACCTGAATTTTAACCATACTGTTAGTCTGTTAATATATTGCATTTACGACGGAACTAGGTCAGGCACAATAATCAAACTACTTCACTCACTAAAACGGACACCTAGGATCATTTGTATTTAATTTTCAGATTAATATTTATTAATAATTCTATAATTTGTGTCTTCGAATAAAATGACAACATTTGACACACGACTGCATATTTATTTCATATTTAAACCAGTATTGTAGTGATTTCTATCTAAATAAAAGAATTTGTAAGTATAATTAGTTTGCATACTCTGTCACAGGTGTCGCTACCCTTGAAAACGAAAGCGAAAACACAGAGTTGGCTTATAAAATGCGTACTAAAATAAAGCATAATGGTCTAATATTATCTTTGATATATAAATATGGGCAATTTTTTAAAATTACCTAAGTAATAAGATTTTGTAAAGCTTAAGTAGTACGAAAATATAACGCATAAAAAAACAATAATATGTACTAATTTTTCTTTATTAATAATAAAGATTAAATTTTACGTACAGGGTGTCCTACATAAAATCGTTATTTATATTCTAGCCTTGGTAGCTTCAAAATAAATTTACAACTTAAAAATTAGTCTGGCTCAGGTAGATTTCTTTTTCAATCTACAAATCAGTAGCTACTTACCGATAAGGAGGAAACCACTGGATATTTAGTGAAAAAAGTGACCACCAAAAAAGTTATTCATTCTTGAATATGAATATAACTAACACAATTTTAATTTCATATTGTCTTAACAATCAACTTATTTTTAGTCACTTAGTGTAATAAAAAAGACATTGAATTTAAAATGTTTATTTTTTTAATTTCTTTTCTTGAGTTTCCATTAGGTATACCTACAAGTCGGGTCTTTACATTTCCTTTTTGCCTTCTTAAAATGAACTAAATGCAAATATGAGAATAAAGTGATATTTCATTACATAAAATATAAGTTTGATGTGGCGGGGAATTCTAGGACAAAATATTTTTCAAATATGCTCCTTATGTCCTATCGCGTTGCAAAAAATATATATTTTTGTATTTTCTGTTAAAGCATAACATACGACAGCGGCACTAAAACTTTGCTGCCCTGCGTTACTCCTCGATGTATACAGGGTGAGTCATTCAAGAGGCTCACCATGGGTGTCTCGCTTCTCTTTTATTATAAGAGATTAGAGTTGTGTCGAGATGATTTAAACCGGGTCCGATCTTTTCATTTAGACCCGGTCTTTTCAATAATTTAAATTTCGCGCCATTTTATGGCCCCAAAGCAGATTAAAATGTTAAATATTGACCCCACCCTACTTAGGTACCGGAAAGCTCTCAAGTTTTTAAGAATTTTAATTTTTAATTCTGTACCTAATATTAATAAATGCGTGGAGGCAAAGACATAGTTTGGAAATTATTTGATTGCATAACTGATAACTAACCCTTTTTATACAAAACAGTTAAAAAGAGGGTTTGAGTTTAAACCGGGTCATTTCAAATGGGTTTAAACCGGGTTGAAACCCTCAGAAGACCCAATCTTTTCCCATCTCTATAAGAGATACTTACAAATTTGGTTAAATTAGAACAAAGTTACGCAATTATGAGGCTAAAAATATGGTACCAAGAAGTCAAGAATATCTCAATTTTTGAAATACATATTTGGGAAAAACTGAAATTTTTAAAAATATAATTTATTTTTTTTTGTCAAACACACACCAAGCAACAAGTTTAAATTTTAACGTTTCGTTCTTTATTTGGCCTTCCATCTTCAGGTGTCCTAACATAGATTTGTTTCTCTTTGTTTTGACTTTTGGCTCAGTAGAATATTTAGAAGAAAGACCTTTTTGTAAGGGTTAAACTTACGTTTAAATGCTAAATTAAAAAAATTGTGAGATAACCAGGTTAATATATCTTGATATATCTACGAAAAATAATATATCTAAGAAAAAATAACTATCTTATACTTTTGAAATAGAGAGCAAAAAGTGTCAATGAAGATGTGTTTGCAGATTTTCAATATTGTTTCAAATAAGGCTAGGTACAAAAAAGAAAATAAAATTTCAGTTTTTCAGTTTTTCGCTTATATTTCCAAAAATAAGCCTCTAATCGACATGAGGTATACTTATTGATTTTGTTCCTGAGGAAATTTGCTACAAGAGTAGGCTTTTGCGAAAGTTCGCAAATTTTTTTTATATTGCGAAATTAGCGGTGAATAGAAAAATGTACTAAATTTTCAGAATTAAATAAAAATAACAAATTTGACTGAAATTGGATGAGACTACAGGAAAAGATAACTGTTGGGGAGCTCAACAAATACCTGCAATCCGGACCCCAAAAAATGTGAAACTATAAACATTAGACTGTTGACTATTCCATGTTATAGTTACTTGTTTTAAGGTCACTTTTGAAGAAGAAACTACATGTAATTTTAAAAACCGTATTTCTGTTTTTATAATGAAGGAATAGTAATTATAAGATTATTTAAGCTTATTAACTAAAAATTATTGCCTACTTAATAAAAAAAATATTATTGTCCTCGGTAATCTATTACTGATTAATAAAATATTTAGTCTCTTTCCTTATAAGATTGTATGTACACAAATTGGAGCCGTTCCTGGAAAATCGGTTAAAAAACACAGCTTGAAGCGTTGGCCGCTAGGGGCTAGAGCAGCACTTGCTGGGGTCCCGCTTCGTGACTCACACTGGGCGATATTTTTTGTACAAAATCCCGTCATTAATAACATTTAAGTATATAAATATGAACCTTTTTAATTTTTGTAAAATACAAAAAAGTTTTGGCCCAAAACTTTTCTCCCCTAAAATCTGCCGCCCTATGCTGCAGCCTACCCAACCTACTTACACTGGTAAATCTGCCACTGTATAAAGTGTTTCTTTAATATTACGAAAAAGTAGGGCACTTTTCTACATAAACTTATTTTCAAAAACGAGTGTTATCAAAGTTACACCCTTTTAAAGGGTTGGATAAAAAATTCAGTTTTGATTTTATTTTTCACAAAAACACCCCTTAACTTCGATGTATTGGGAAATAAATTTATACGGAAAATTCCCCCGTAATTTTTGGAAAGGAATGGCTAAAGTTTTACGCAATACTAAAGAAATACCCTTTATAATTATTTTTAGTCAGAAGCAACAGCAGAGACTATATATTCTGAGTGCAAATGGTGCCTACCGAAATTGCGACATTTGCGAAACGATTTCCTGATTATGATGATGAGGAGTCAGGAAGGTGTTTCTATAAGGGCTGCAAATTATCACATCATTAATAATAGAACTGTTCTATTAGTAAGTAAAAAAGATCAATAGTTGTTAAAACTCTTTTATTATAATTCTATCATTCTAAAAACCAGAGCAGAAATTTGGATTGTTCTGTCATATACAGGGTCGTTGATATGTATGGAAACGGTCGATTATTTTCTAAAGTAAGACAAGACAACTATCGAAAAAATCATAAGACACCAACGTTTTAGGGTTTGTGAAATATATTACAATAAAGAAAAATGAAGTATACAGGATCAGTCAGAAAGTCATAACGAAACAAAGTTGTTTTTCCCTTAATGGAACACCCTGTATATAATTCCACATTTCAAATATTCTCGACATTCTAAACAAAATTCATATAGCACATCATGTAACTAAACTTAACCGTTTTCGAGATATTGAACTCTGAAAATCATTTTCTTATACAAAAATATTTTGTCCATTAAGTTTACAGTCCATCAAGTTACTTTTGAAAGTTTCTAGATACATAACAACCCCGGGTGCTTCTTTTGTCTAATAGTGATTATCTTGACAATACATGTCAAAAATACATACATTTAGTGTGAATAATTTTCTCGCAAAAATGGCACATTTAAGTGAAACCGAGCGATTTGAAGTTTTAATAATGATAGGATATATGTATACAGTACGCGCCTAAAGTATGGAGTAAATTCAGTAAAAACGAAACAATTTTTTTTTTATGAGAAAAATCCTCGAACAGGTCGATTTTTAATTTTAAAAATACATATTTTAGCATAAAAGGCAATTTTCAACCGTCATTTGTTTTCGAGTAATGACGTCATCGACATTTTTTTTAAATGGCAACCCCCTATTTTTTTCTTGATTCAGAAAGATCGTTTCATTGTCGATCCGACAGTATTAAAATGTTGCCATCTTACATAGGAAAATTTTCGAGTAAATGACGATTGAATGTTAGAAAACCCAAATCAATTAAAATAAAACAAACACGTTATCAAATATTAGTTTTTCGAAATGCCTGAAGTTTTTTATGGATCACGTAAATCTTTACAAAGTGTCACTGTCATACCGACTTTCTAAGTATTGTAAGCGATATAAAAAATATTGTTGAATTTAAAATATTATGGCACATTTAACTGTCACACAAAGAATTGAAAATTTAATTCTTATCGGATGCGGGGAGGAAGTTTGCGATTTATTTAATGAAAAACATCCAGATCGCCATATCAGCCAAACAACAGTCAGTAAGATGGAATCTAAATATAGAGAAACTGGCAATGTTGTAGATATTCCAAAACTTGGACGTCCAAGCGTTAGTGAAATTAGTCAGACCACAGTGATATGTATCTTGAGGGAGGAAAAATATTATCCCTACAAAATTCAACTTATGCAGGAACTCAATGAAGTCGATCCCGACCGCCGCTTACACTTTTGTGAAATTATGATGGATTTATGTCAAATAAATAGAGATTTACACCGGCAAATACTTTTTTCAGACGAGGCCACGTTTTGTCTCAATGGTACAGTGAACCGTCAAACTTGAAGGTATTAGCAGTCGGGAAAATCCTCATTGGATGACAGAGACACATACCCAACACCCACAGAAATTAAATGTGTGTGCTGGAATAGTAGGGCCTTTCTTCTTTGAAGGAACCCTTATAGGAGACAGATATTTAGAGTTTTTACAAAATGACCTTGTTCCAGCGCTTGCAGTAATTTTTCCTAACGATAATGATCCTCATATTCCTGATGACACCATATGGTTTCAGCAAGACGGTGCACCTCCGCACTATGCGTGCCCTGTTCGAGATTTTCTGGACAATAGGTCCATTCAGTGATATATAATTTTAAACTTTTTCTTTCATTTTCTGATAGTATTTAACCACCTAAACATATCTTAAAAAAATTAGGTCAATAGGATTAATAATAAGTGATATATTTAATTCTGAATTTGCAAGACCCTTAAAAAGCTCAACACTGCGGAAGAACAGGTAATGACGTCACGATACCGGCCACTCGGCGATCAAGTCGCGAGCAGTCGAAGAGATGTGTAGATATTTGCTATACTTTTACCTATATTATATACCTATATTTTTTTAGTGTATAAATAGAGTGTATAAGAGATATACATCAAGTCTTGTTGAAATGCATTTTTCACACTACATATTTATTATAAACATGAAATGACTTGGAATACCTAAATACATTTTCGGATTTTTCTCAATGATGTAAATGGTTCGCATTTCTACATTTTCGTTTGCGTTCGATTTTGTACAAATGTACCCAACGTACTAGACTCGGTACTTGTGGATGTATGCGACGACGTGTATGTGCCAGTAGTACTTTGACTAGTATTTGAAGCAACTAAGAATCACCCTCGTTTTTCTTTAGTTGCCCGTCTAGGGGGTTGTAAAATATTATTATTTAAATAAATTGCTTATAGGTCCCTCTCGCCACGTATTTCGACATTTTTGTGGAGGACAGGAACGTTTAGATGGGGTAGAAAATTTTTTTTTCGGCATAAATTTGAAAATTCTGCTCTAAATGTTTAAATAATAATATTTATAACCCCCTAGACGGGCAACCAAAGAAAAATGAGGGTGGTTCTGAGTTACTTATAGGTCCCTCTCGCCGACGTATTTCGAAATTTTTGTGAACGGGTACGTTTAGATAGGGTAGACATTTTTTTTTCAGCATAAATTTTAAAATTCTGCTCTAAATGTTCAAATAATAATATTTACAACCTCCTAGACGGGCAATCAAAGAAAAACGAGAGTGGTTCTTAACTACTTATAGGTCCCTCTCGCCGACGTATTTCGAATTTTTTGTGAACACGAACATTTAGATGGGGTAAATTTTTTTTCCGGCATAAATTTGAAAATTGTGCTCTAAATGTTCAAATAATAATATTTTACAACCCCCTAGACGTGCAACCAAAGAAAAACGAAGGTGGTTTTGAGTTGCATACCGTGGCTGGGGAAACCGTGGATAACATCACACAAACTTTTCATTTTTCGGTAATGAAATAAATATTTATTCGGAGTCGATCCTGAGGTACTTTTGCAGCCTGGAACAAAACGATATTTGTACAATCCTCGGTTTCGACCGATTTAGACATAAAAACAATGCTTAACGAAACTGCCACGCGAACCACACACCGTATGTATTAACACAGAAAGGAATGAGAGCGAGGGCGAGCGCGACCGGAGTGCTCTGCCAGTCGCCCGTACCGGTATTATGACGTCAGCAATGGTTGCTCAACGTTTTTCCGCGCTCTGTTTTCATTAATTTATTTCACACATTTCTCGTTGAAACAAAAAATTGATTTTTGGCATACTAACTAATTAAAGGGTAAACTTTTGAAATATGCAAAAAAATTCTACTGAATGGGCCTATTGTTTTCCTAGGAGATCGATCGGCAGACGAGGACCAATAGAATGGCCCGCGAAATTCCCATACCTTACACCCCTGGACTATTTCTTATGGGGCTACTTAAAGTCCAAAGTGTATGTTAATAGACCACATAATTTAGAAGAACTCCAACATTGTATTATACAGGGTCGGAAAGTCCCCATGGTTCATTGGCCGTTACGTGAGAGCGATAAAGAAAGTCATAGAAATCCATGCGATAGAGAAAGATGGCTATAATGAAGGCGTCTAATGGTCACCGCCCATTTCGCCCTTCCACAAACAAGAAGTGGATCTTATTTGTGGAAGGGCAAAATGGGCGGTGACTATTAGAGGCCTTCATTATAGCCATCTTTCTCTATCGCACGGATTTCTATGACTTATTTTATCGCTCTCACATAACGGCCGATGAACCATGGGGACTTTTCAGCCCTGTAGATGAAATACACAGTTACCCCAGAAATAATTCATAATGTGCAAGAAGAATTTCTACACAGACTTGCGTATTGTCAAAAAGTCGGTGGGTGGCAATTCGAACACTTAATTTAGGTAGAAAACTTAATGAATTGTATTTGCTTGACATAGGAATTGTTATTTTTTTAATCAATAAAATTTACGTTTTGTAACATTCAATCGTCATTTACTCGAAAACTTTCCTATGTAAGATGGCAACATTTTAATACTGTCGGATCGACAATGAAACGATCTTTCAGAATNAATCTAGTACTGTTTCCCTTGTATAATAAATATCTATTATTTCATTGAATATTACCGTCTACATGCCCTGGGTGAGGTGATTAAAATTTAGTCTACAGTAAATCATGTTCTCTAATAAGCAGGTTAACTGCAGGAAATTTGAGAAAAATAAAGTTTCAATTATTAAGATTAGAAAAACAAAAAATTCAACGTCCTGCATTTCAGTGAGATTATATTATTGGGCATGTGTTAATATAACTTATTTTATAAAATAATTAGAAGAAATATTCTAGACTACTTCGGAAACATTCAAAGTTCTTACACAGTCAGTACACAATTTTTAAAAAGTTTCTATAACATTTATAAATTGCTCCTATAATATATTCCCATTAAAATTCAATTAAATTAAGCTAGTACTACGTTATATAAAAAATGCATATCTTAATCTATAATTTTTATTGCAGATAATGAAAACTGCTTACAGCTTTTATACTTTTATGCAAAAAGTAGCATAAGCCAAGAGGGAGTTGATCGGTTAATTTTGCACAGAGCACTCAGAGCAACATTTCAATGCACTTGCACTCGAAGTATGTATTGTTGACATGCACAGAATTTTCCAGTGAAATCTGGAGCATTAAGAAATAGTGGATATTTTAAATGTACAGGGTGATTCAATAATAATTGTACATGCGCTAACTGGATAACCCTGGGTTAAAAATATATGAAAAATTGACAGATAAAATATAGGTTCTTACAGAGTTACAGGGTGTTTTATTTAAAAAATTTTAAATGGTTTTTGCCCATTACTTTAACCCTGTTTTATATTTCCTATCATACTTGACATAAAGTTTAGATACTTTAGAACATATTAAAGAATGCTACAAAATCGTTCATACCAGAGGCGCACGACAGGGGAAGAGAGGCAGTTTCCTATTCCTAACTTCTACGCCACTGGCGGAATTTTTATTTTGGTATAATTTTTTAATATACTATTCTTTCGTAAAATCATTATATCCCGAGATTTTTAAAGTTACTAAACATAGGGCTGCACAATCATTTTTATTTTATTATATAATTTATTTGTCATATTATTATTATTCAAGTCAGTATCTTCTGTCCTGGGATTGCGTTGCATTAGTTGAGTTAGGTTTTATAGTTACAGTTTATTATCATTAACATCATTTAAAATTTTTAAATAAAACACCCTGTAACTCCGCAAGGAGCCATATTTTATCTAAGCGTAATGTGTCAATTGTTCATATTTTCAGCCCAGGATTAGCGTATGTACAATTATTAATGAATCACCCTCTATATAATTCTTTACTCAATAATTAATAACGTAGAAATTATTTCACACAACTTAAACACTACTGTTATTATACATTCTAAGAAAACATGTAAAACACCGTAATGTATCTACTTATACTTATATATCACATTTAACAATTCAATAAAATTTAACGTATATCAATTGTCTGAGTTTTATTTTGTCGTTATCCTTTGCGTCCGTACGATATTTGTTGAGATTTATCTGCATTTAACACCCGACGTAGAAAGCATTGACGGCGTCACGAAGGTACGAAGTGTATCTTCCTGTGAGTTTTTGGGTAATTTCTTATTAAAATAAATCAGTGGAGGTAGAAAATAAAAGAAAAGAATTTAATTCCCAGTCAAAATTTGTCATGATTAACGCGTATAATTACCTACTGTAAGACAATTTTTCCAAATGAAAATAAAATACAATTAAGAAAGCGTGTTGCAGCTGCTACAGGAGTAACTTTAGTCACTATAGAGCTCTAAACAATGGCGATGGTGAATAATATTTAGTTCTTCTAAGAAACACAAGAGAATATGTACAAAAACCAACATACCAAAATCAAGTGAGAAATACGACTAACTGTCCAAATCTGGGAACTACCACGACGACATAAACTTGTAAAATTATGAGAAGTGGCCTACAGAGAAGTTGATTTCAAATCTCCCTCCCGAATTATGTTGTTGTAACTGATAATGCACCACATCACAATGTACAGAAAGCACCTACCTGCAACAGATTTGATCACAGTTGGTAAAATTATCCATAATTTTCAATTCACGGATAGTATTTTATCAAAAAATTTTACGAATCAATAATAAATATAAATATCTCGTGTCACACATACCTCTGTACAGTGGCGGCGCGTGAACATTGATTGAATGTGTTCTGCTTAGGGTTGTTACATTTGTTGAATTGAATTCCGGAATATTCAGTGCCCAGAGAGACTCTGAATGGCGCCGCAGGCGAAAAATTTTAAAATTTTCAAGGTCACGCGTTTTCCTGGTACTTCTGAATTTCAAGGAACAATCCATTTATACAAAAATACAGATTTTCACAAGAACGATTTTTAAAATTGATACCTTTTTGAAACATCTATTCACGAATTACCTACTGACGGTATAAATAACTTGGAATAAACTAAATATATTTTATTAAATTATTGAATATGGTTTATAAACAAAAAAATCGTTTGTGAAATTTACCAACGATTCAACGAATTTTAATTTTCCTCGGCGTGTTATGATTTTTTCTTTATCTTTTTTTATATATATGTACATTATATTATATTCCGGGAGTTATACGTGCAAATCCGAAATCCGGGACCATACAGCTAATTCCCGGTACAATCACAGAAAATCCCGGTCATACCAATGTGGCTAGATGTTCTTTTAAAATGTCGTCAAGATCTACACTAAAATTTATGAGTCCACGAAACACATCAGGGTTGTCCGAATTTTCTGTCTCGTCGTGTCCGCGAAGTGCTAATTCGCAAGCTC